GGATAAATGTAATTCAACAAATGATAAAATATGAACAATAATTTTAAATGATTACATGAGCTGAAACCATCTAAATATAATCTTTTTGAATAAAATAGTCTTTAAAAAAAGAAACCAGCCTAACAAATAAAACATTTGTTCTGTGCAAAAGACAGATATTTGCTGCTTGGTCTGGAGTGTGTGGACAGCTGGTTTAAACAAGGCCAGAGATCTAGAGCTGTACCTGTCAGGGTCATGTGTAATCTAACAGATATTTAATCATGAAATGTTCAGTCTGAGATGACATATGTCCATGGSTCAGCCCATTGGTCACTGAGGTAGTTTACAAAATGAATGCAGAGTAAAATAAATAAATAAATAAAAACCTCTGATTTGGCATGATGACCCCTCACTGCTCAGATTCTGACTCTTTTAAGAAACATTTTTGATCAGTCAGGCTTTTATTTAAGTTTTATTTACTGTTTTTTGTTTTAGTTATTTTGCAGCACTTAGTGATGAAGAAAGGTGCTATAAAAATAAAGTTTACTTATTTAAAACCCATCCAGTCTCATTCCTGTTATCTTAACCAGTTTGTTCTTGATGTTCTGTTAAAGTCCAGTCTTTGTCTCGGCTGCAGGATGGCTCAGGCGGACAGCAGGGTTCTGGTTCTGGGAGCGCTGGCCGGAGRGGCCGGCCTCGGCCTGGCTGTGGTTTGTTACAGGGGTTTAAATTCGAAGCGAAGGAGCTCCTGGGCGGGCTTCCACCATAACCGCAGCGACGGGCACGGGTCCGGGCTCACGGTGGTGGACGGTCCGGGTCTTCCCAGAGGCCAGGCCGAGGTGCTGGAGCGCCTGGAGGCCCTGATCCAGTGCGTGTCAGAGCTGAAGGACGAGATGAAGGCGCTGAAGACCGCTCTGCCCTCGCTGCAGGACCACGTCAGGGAGGAGCTGCGGGGCCACGGCACGGCCCACCGAGTCAGTCCTCTGCACAGAACCAGGAGGAAAAGGACCGCAGGGACCACGTCCAGACCCGAGGGACAGAGCTCTGAGGACGCCGAGAGCGAGGGAGGGTACGTTCAACAAACACGAAAACATTTCCCCACAGCCCGACTGAATCAAACCAAATATTCATTATTCACAACTTTTCTACATCAAAATGAGCAAAATGTCTTTTATTATGCCTCTACTCACTGGGACTGGAGGCTCCGCCCACTGGGGGCTGGTCTGTGTGTTAGGGCGTGGTCCGTCCATCACAGGTGGTCTTTTGTGCATATCTCCTGAATGAAACGATATATTTACTCATAATCAAGCATAGTGACTCTATTAAGGCAGCTCAGTCTGATTAGATTTGGGCATCAAAGGGTCAAAGGTCACTTATAATGATTGTTGATATTAAACATATTTTTTTTCCAACATGTCTACTGCCGGCAGAGGCAAACCGGTCAACACTTTGGAGTTGAGTTCCACCTTATTTAACATCTGAACTGAGGGTGAATTTTAAAGGATTTCCCCTTTTTAACTTCTCCTTTAAAAAGTGAACAAATAAATAGATTAGTCCGTCCCACGCTTTTAAACCGACTTGTTTTATCTTTTAAAATGACTTCTTACCAGAACTGATTTTTTTCAACAGAGAATCTGCTGCAGCGTTGACCTTTAACAGAATCAACAAGTCTTTAAAAGCAAACATCAAGGTTTGTTCAAGGCTGTTGTGTTCGCAGCAGTCAGGCAGGAGAACTCCAGTCCACAAAGTTGATGAAAAAACTCAGTTTAGTCTAAAATTTTGGCATCAGCAGGATATTTATATGAAGGAAGATATGTGTCAAAACCCACCTGAAAATTTTTGATTTATAACTTGTAAAAATATGATGTGTACCTGTGAAAAAAATTCACCTGCAAAATTTAGATTTGTGTACCTGCATCAGACTTTTACACAGCTGAATGTGACATTCTATTATTAATGCACATGTGCGCATTTCAGACTGTTACCTGTTGCACATTTGCACATTACACTTTAAAAACAGATTGTACAGTTCCCTTCTTGTTATCATTATTATATTGTTCCCTTCTGATGTTATTATCCTTAGTTTAGTCTTTTTTTAATTCAATCAACGTTGTTTGTGTCTTTTCAGTGATGAAAGTGATGAAACACTTTGAATTGAATCTTGAATCTGCAGACAAGATTTGTATTTATATTTAAAAAATTTCACCAATTTAAAATTCAAATTTAAGTCAAGTCAACTTTATTTATATAGCACATTTAAAAACAACTGCCATTGGCCAAAGT